CGGGGGCAAATGGAGCGAGTTCATCTGGTGACCAAAATTCTGCCCTCATTATTCACGAGAACAGAGATGGACTTCGAAGCACTTCTGCTCCCCTTTCATTTTCCTCTAGCGAGATTCTTATTCAGGGATCAGACCTCCTCACGGCCAATACTGGATCCAATGCTAGCCCAGATACTACTGGGTCTATCCAACTCCTGTGAGTGGAATATGAAGATCATTTCATGGAATTGCCGTGGAGCGGCCAAACTTAATTTTCACCGAAGTGTCATGGATCTAAAACGTACTCATAATCCTTCTATGATGTTGATTTTGGAAACTAAGCTGGCTGGTGATGATGCTCGTGATCTAGCTGCTTCTCTCGGCTTCCCCAGAACTTTTGTTGTTAATTCTGAGGGTTTAGCTGGGGGCTTATGGCTTTTATGGGATGATACAACTCTTTCAGTGGACATTGTTTCTCATAGCTGCCAAGCCATTCACGCAATTATTAAGGTATGTAATAATCCTCTTTTTCCTTTTGATTGGTTCTTTTCAGGTATTTATGGTCGACCTCAATCAGAAATTAGATCCCTTTTATGGCAAGAGCTCTCTTCCATTGCTGTTAACTTATCTATGCCTTGGATGCTCATTGGGGATTTTAATGATGTCATTGAGCAATCAGAAAAATTCGGTGGCAATCCTGTATGCCAAGCTCGTATTCGTGCATACTTGGACTGCATGAATATTTGTAGAATGATTGACCTTGGATTTATAGGGAATAGATTTACCTGGGCCAATATGAGATTTTCCCATCAACTTATTAGGGAGAGGCTTGATCGAGCTTGGGCTAATCCAGATTGGAAACTTTTATTTCCTGAAGCTGCACTCTTCCATCTCCCTCGCACTAGTTCTGATCATTGTCCACTCTTACTTGACCTTAACCCTTCCTACCCTCGAGTTGGAACTCGTCCTTTTCGAATGGAGAAATTTTGGCTTAACCACCCGGAATTCCAAAATTTGGTTCATCAAATTTGGTCTATGGATGGGTCTAATACTTCTGTTTGCCTAGATAGGACTATGTCTCAAGCTAAGTCATGGAGTAAACTCACCTTTGGCGACATCTTTAAAAGGAAGAAGAAACTACTAGCTAGATTATCTGGAATTCAAAACTCCTCTTCCTATAATCACTCTGCCTTCTTATGGAACCTTGAGAAGCACCTCATCCAGGAATTTGAGCAAATCCTTAAGATGGAAGAGGATCTCTGGTTCATGAAATCTAGGATAAACTGGATTACGGATGGTGATAGAAATACCAGATATTTTCATCTTTCAGCTGTCAAACACAGGTCCAGGAATAAGATCTTTGGGCTCAAAAATCAAGCTGGGGATTGGATTTCTGATGGACCTTCTATTGCATTCATTGCTGTTACTTATTTCCAGAATCTTTTTTCCACCTCTCTTCAGCATTCTTTTACTGATTCCTTTCTCCATATCTACCTTGATTTGGACGACTCTGTGAACTTGGACTCTATTGGTGGAATTCCTACTGAAGTTGAAATCCTTAAGGCAGTCAATTCTATGAAACCTTTCAAAGCCCCTGGTCTTGACGGTACTCACCCTTTCTTCTATCAAGGCTGTTGGCCATTGGTTAAGGATAAAGTTTGCCAGGATATTAAGGATATTTTTTGCACAGGAGTAATCCCTGACAAATGGAATGAGTGTCTCTTGGCACTCATTCCTAAAGTTAAATCTCCAGAAATTATTCAACAATTCAGACCTATTGGCCTCTGCAACACATCCTACAAGATTGTCTCTAAGATTCTTGTC